CAAATCTGCTTCCAATTAATAGATAGAGGACTAAATTTGCTCCTTCCAAAAATTTAGGGACTAAAACTATACAGGTGTTGAACGTTGAGGACCGAATTTGCTTTTGTTAAAATTTTAAGAACTAATTCATAAGGGCTAAAGATTAAGGACTAAAATTGCAATTGTCCCCTTAAAAAAACAATTTCTTTTAATTGGAAAAATAACTTTCACTTTCACTCTTTTTGACCAACCAAAAAAAGAAGACTTTTCACTTGTTTGAGCCTTCTTCCTTCCATCTAGGCATATCAGTGGATTGGATCTTACAAAGATTCAATCTAGACCCGGTGTAGTTGAGTAAGGTTTGGATTTAATTTCTCTAACCTGGACCTTACTCAGACCCATGTATATATAATTAAATTATATATATATATATATAGGTAAATCATTTATTCACTGACAGTATATATACCAGTGGGTCTAGATGCATGTCGCGTATATTTAAATTCAAATTTAAATGATATGACATTCATCCAACACTAACAGTGTAAAAAAGATTAATTATATATATATACTAGTAAATTTATAAAATATTCTAACATTCTATGGTCATTGAATCGAATACGTTAAGATTTCATGATTGAATTGAATACAGTAAGTTGTCATTGTAATTAGTACAAACTTTTTTAGAAAAAGGAGAAAAAATAAAGACAAATAAATAAAAGATTGGCTATAGACATAGTTGAAGTTTTAAAAATAAATAAAAGCAATCAATAATAGTTATTTTTTCAAGTTCATAATATTACATTTAATTTCTTAAACATTAATTTTATTATTTGAAAATAAAAATTGGATGGTGTGTGTATATATATATATATAATTTTTGAAATCTATGTATTTTTTATTTTAGTATATTTAGAAAAATACAATGGATATCCATCCATTGGATATCCCAATCCAAAAGGATCTGGATTTGAACTTGCTTTTTTCAGACCCATAAGGGTCTGAATTTAGATATGGATCTAGCAAAATTTAATGGGTTTGAATCTGAAATAAAGAATCCAATCATTGCTCCGTCTTGCGTTCATTCCATCTGCCGGTTCTCTTCCAGTTTTAGTATTGGTTCTGACTCACGAGAGTGAATTGGAAAAAAAAATGGGATCGGTGGATTTCGGAGAAGTAACCCATTATCTCTTGACTAAGTTCTCTGCCCTTCTTGTCGAAGCAGGAACAGATAAAGATCTCAGCAGACTTTCTTGCATCTCTCGCTTCCGAAGTGCAGAGACCCTCATCAAATCCAAGTACGCCAACGCTATCAATACTTGCAAAATAACCACCCGTGCTAATTCTTGTACGGATCTTGACATCCGGGAGTTGCTCTATGACCTCATTTCTGCACTCTCAGAGTGCCGCGCTTTCGCCCAACAGCATCGCGGGGCCGGGGCCGGAGCCGCGGCCGGGGGGCACAAGAAGGGTTTCTTGCGATTCAAGCATTTGTGGTTCATTAGTCGCACGAATCGAAAGCTGGATGACCTAGACAAGAGGCTCAAACAAATTTTCAGTGGAGAGATTTCAACTGGGGCAGATCCCGCCTCGATTGCTGGTAATAATGAGGACGACGACGATGATGCTTATGATGATGAAGAAGCAGACTTTTCAGCGGGGTTTGTAGGATTGGATCCAGCAGCGGAAACAGTCCAGAAATTTATAGTTGAGGGATGTGAAGATGATACTAATACTATACTGAAGGGGTTTGGAATTGTGGGGTTTGGGGGATCAGGGAAAACCACGCTTGCCCGGAAGGTTTTCTTGAATTTGAAAAATATGTTCTGGCCAAGGATTTGGGTTTCTTTGTCTGGGACCCTTTGTGATGCGGCGGTGAGCGTGGACTTGAGAGTGAAGATTTTAAGGAAAATGCTGGAGCAGGCTGGTGGTGATGTCTCAGAATTGTCGACTAATGTTGGCGATATTCCCAATCTCACTGAGAAGCTTTACCGTCTGTTGACAGGCAAGAGGTATCTTATTGTGCTGGATGAGGTCTGGCATGTTAATGGTTGGTATGGGGATTTATGCTCTGAGCAGCCAAAAGGCGATGCATCATTCGGGGACTGCATATCTCATGCCTTGCCCAAAGATAGTGGTGGGAGAATCATTGTCACAACTAGGCGAAAGAATGTTGCAACACAGATGGTAGGTGAGGAGAACTTGAAGCGAATTGATACTCTGCTGGGCAAAGAGATTGGCTGGTCAGTGTTTTCTGAAGCTGTACGTGAAGATGGAAGAGTTGATGTGAATAACAACACTCTGTTGAAGATGGAGGAGATAATAAAAAAAAATTGTGCTGGCCATCCCTTATTTGCCAGGACTTTAGCAACGATAATTCCAGAACAAATCCATGTAGAGGAGCGGGAGGACAGGGAGAATGAGGATTTGATCGAGTTTCTAGAGGCCCTGCTCAGAGATTCTAGTCCATAATCCCCTTCTCTCCACTTCTTAAATCCCATCTCTCCATTGTTGGGGAAAAAAAATGATGTCAATGGCGCTATTTACTTTGTTTCTGAAGGTTCTGATGGCACTTGATCTTATGATATGGTTCTGGTTGTAATTTCTGAGATGCTGGCATTGTTGTAATGTGGGATCTGAGTTCTCACTTATTATCTATCTTGACTTGGAGGGTCTAGATTTTCTCTTTAAGCAGTGAAAATTTTGTGCTTTTTCTGTCTTTGTTTGCTTGATACCAAAAAAAAAAAGAAGGCCTTTAATATGGTTAATAAGTACTCTACGATCGATGCTGGAGGATAAATCTTGCTGGAATACTTGTGCTCAGAGTCTAGAAAAGTTTTGGTTAAAATATCAATCCCACTCGATAAGCCATCGTATGTATGTATGTATTTGGTCGACTTTCAGCGTGTCGACCAAACCAAGGAAATTGCTTCCAAACCAAGAATATAAAAAAATGAAGAATATAAAAGTTGCTTCCAAACCAAGGGAATTGCAGGCACGCTTCATTCTCGGAATTTGGAAGGCCTAAAGTTTGTTACCAGATATGTGGGTAAAGTTTAGAGGCCAAACCAAGGTTTTTTGTTTTGTGTCACCAATAACAAGGGCTTAAACATTTTAATTTTCTGTATGGGGCTTTGATTCGAGTGCTTGCTTTGGATTTGTCTTTCCTTCTTCTTTTCACTCCACATCAACAAAGTAGGGCAATTTATATGGGTGATTTTGTGAGTATAAAACAAAACATCCAAATCATTCACTTTGTATAGAAGTATTGGGTAACAGGAAAACAATGGAATGAACCAAAACCAAGATTATTCCTTTGACTAGAGGTGTGTATATTATTAATCCAATTTTATTTTATTTTGTATTTTTGTTATTACTTTATTTTATTTAAGGCAGTTTAGTTTAAGTTCTCAAACCCCCACCCCCCCCCCTTCCTCTTATTGATAGTTACTGCAAAGAAATAAATCAATTAATTCCTGTTAAAATGACTCTACTCGTCATTGCACACAAAAGCAAAATTTTCTTCGTGTAGGTATTTTTATTTTTGGTAAATTCAAGGGAAAATAACCTGTTTCATCCCTCACATTTCATAAAAATATTTTTTTTGTCCCTCACATTTAAAACGAAACAAATTGGTCCTTCACATTTAAAAACCGAAACTTTTACATCCTAGAAATAAACTCTCAATTGTGAATCAAACCATCTAACAATCCAGTTACAAATTTTAGGGGTAGAATTGGTAGATCACTCGCAAAACATATTTCCAACAAATAAATTAAAATAATTAAAAAATCTTAATTAAAACCCATTTGTTTCTTCAAAAGAACAAAATTGTGCTAAAGCTCTCAAGCACTAAACCCTTAGTGCAACAAAACTGAAGAATTTGTCTAAGGGTTTAGTGCTTGAGAGCTTTAGCACAAAAGCAAAATTTTCTTCGTGTAGGTACTTTTATTTTTGGTAAATTCGATGCCCATCACCTTATCTAAAACATCATGCTACGATAAATCCTATTCTTTAGCTTATGGGCATTTTAGACTGTGACTATAGATAGTGTTTTAAATAAATTTTATTTTTCTAAAATAGGAAAAAGATATACCATCCAATTACTAGACCCTAAATTCAAAAAGTTTATTTGATGAGGTGACACAATTATTGTTGTTATATTTCTCTTTTGCCAACAAACTTGACGAGAACACATCCACATGTTTACCGATATATTACTTGTAACACGCTAAGCTAGTTTCTCATAGCTGACTCAGACACGGAGGTTGAGTTGATAATTAATCATGCACAACTACTATAATTGTCTTATAAAGCTTTTAACGAGTCAAATAGTGTCGAATTGAGCTCAAAATTGAGGTTGAAAATGATTTAATTCTAATTTTTTTTAAAACTAATACATAATCTAGAATAATTATAATTATATTGGTATTGTTTAGAGAATAAATAATACTAATTTATGGATAATTACTTTGTTAAGGGGAAATACAGGTGTATATAGCCATATTTGGTAATATATATAGCCGTATCAAACGTTGTTTTGAATTCAATGAATTTTTAGGAACTACGTACTCTTAAATATTTTGAAAATATCATTTTTTTTTTGGCAAATATCGTGTTTTGAAAATGTCGCTACCGTGTATATGGACCTCTTAACTTTTAGTGGTCATGCAACTTTTTGTCTTTTCCCTATGAAACTCTTTGGTACCTTCAAAAGGAAAGGGAATGGTAGACTCTGACAGGCAATGGAACACATAACAATTGTTATCTGTATATATGCTTTAGAAATGTTCATACTTGCTAAGTTTCAATAGTGCCATAATGTCAAACAAGATGAATCTACAAGACAGCTTTCGATGAGTAAAGAAAAATTAGCATGACTTATCATGCTGAAATGAAAATTTTTTGCCACAAGGACAATCACTCACCAAGCCAGGGAAGTAATCCTGGCTGAAGAACTCTTTATCTGATTCCACAGTCAAGAAGAAAATTCTTATTCGGCCTTTACTTGATTATAATCCCTACTTTCCCACGATCAATTTTGCTCTTGCATGCCCAGCCTCAATCCGAAATTGGTCTCCTAATCCAAAATGAGCCATCAGTATCCAGACGAAAGTAATCAGCTCACCCCCTTTACTGAGCTCCTGAGCGTGAGCATATGGTCGGCAGTGACTGGCAGCATAGGACAACAGTTCCACCCACACTTTGCTCATTATCTCCCACCTTTGATCATCCTCCAAGTTTCTCAAATCCTTTGCGAGCCTACAGGCATCAAACAGCACTGATTTGCTTCTGTCACCCTTCACATAAATGGGTTCAACATCTGTATTTACATTAAGTAGCTTTTCACAAGCAACTCTTTGTCGGGTTGCTGAACTTGATCCTCTTGCAGGGAATGTATTCTTGGCTATGCGGTAGATGTTCAATTTTGAGCAGATATCCAAGGCTGTTGAGATTGGTGGCCTTAATTCTGTCTTCCACCTGCTGAAAAACTTCTTAGCTTCTTCACACGTGTCCTGAAATCGAATCTGTCCAATGCCAGCAACTGCAGACATCATTGTAGGCCGCATAACCAAGAGATACAACATATAATCAGATATAAGCTTGCAATATTCACGATTGGAATTTTTATCACCAGGGCTTGTGGAATAGCATAGCTCAGTGGCAATATGCCACAGCAACACGCTTTCATCATAATCAACTTCCTCACTTACACTTGATGACATGGTCTCAGATCTATAGCCAATGTAATCTGACAGAGCACTTTTACCTCTTGCCGAGTATATTTCTTTAGCAACTTTATTGGTTTTTGCTTTGTAAGCTTTACCCTTGAGCTCGTGAAAGATAAATTCTTTCAAATTATCTTTAATGACAGAATCCTTTTTGTATTTCATTTCATCAAGAACAGCCTTGAGTCCAACGGTTTCAGCTGCAATATCCAACCATCTCCACCGCTGATTCAGGCAAAAATTGATCAAGTTATGCTGCGAGATTGTATTAGACCACCTTCGATCAGATGACAGCTTGTCACGGACCGCAGATACAATTCGTTTAACTCTGCGATTCTTAAGCACAACTACAGTCCAGTCAGAGAAAATGACCTTAATCAAAGCCACAAGATCCAAGCCAACAGCACCATAAAGCAAAATGTAGGTGACAGCAACATCAAAATGGTTGATCTCAGGACTATGATGTGATGCAAATTCCACAAAAGAAAGCACTATAAGTACAGAGCAGATGAAACGGAAAACATAACCTATGTTACTGTGTACCACAGCCATCTTAGTGTAGAGAGAATCATACATGAAATTGAGCTCCACCTCCATCACTCTGAAAGCATCATGGGCAGACCTTCGGGAGAAGAAGTTTCGGCTTTTATTACGCTCATGGAAGCTAAACATATGGTCAACAATCAGCCCCCTAAAAGTGGTGAAGAATTCATACCCCGTCTGCACAACATCTAGGTGAGGATTTTGTTCAGTAGTCCAATCTGTTTCCTCTCGAATTTCAGAAATCTGAGAGCCTCTCTCAGGTTCGTTCTCTATTTTTATCTTAATCGGAACATCAGCAGCTTTCCTAGATGAGTACTCCTCCATAAGCTGAACATAATTTGGTCCAGCATCTGGCATTGGAAGCATAGAAGCCTTGAAATTACCCAAGCAACCTAAATATAGAGCACGAGTTCGCTCAGCATATTTAATAGCTCCAGCGAAAAACAAGAGTATTGTGGGAACTGAGAGTACAGGATGGATGGACTGGGCAAAGACGTAAGCAACAGCAACAAGCTGAATGACAAGCCCAAGCAGATGCCGGATCCACAACTCATTATCTTCAAGGGAGAAAGCAGTGATGTTATCAGGGCCACCAAGATGTAGCAATAAAAATGGAGCCCAAAATGCCGCAAGCTCTTCATTTATTCGGATTTTATCAGGATTGTCATTCCTTTGGCCCCTAGAGATGAGTCCAACAGCAAAAGCAGCAAGCCAATCGGCAAGCAGATAAACAGACCATATTATGGCATTCACTATTCTGTTTCCTGTTCGTTTTCGAAATGTTGCTAAGGATATTAACGCCATTTGGAAGAAAAGACTAATAAGGACTGCAGCACGAAGATTCCAGTCATCCCATAGCCTCTTTACCGTGTCAGAGATGAGGGAGGCCATGTATTCTTTTTGCTTCTTTCCCTTCTTTATTCTCTAATAAAATCAGTCCAGATAGCCTAGAGAAACTGGAGGGAAGTCAAGACAAATTTCAACTTGAAATTAAATGCCAATTTGAGATTTCTGAAAAAAAAAATGCATGCATTTCTCTAAATTAATTGTATCTTGTAGAGCTCGAAGAACAAACAAACAGGAACTTCGGTTGTTAGATGTTACTGTTACAAGTGAAAATTTTTGAATACCCTCCACATCTACAATAAGAACACTATTACCAGTTTCTGCAAGCACTTAGTCTAGCATGAAGCCAGTCCTCAGTATGTCTGGCAAATGGAAGTGTTTTAAGAAACCTTGAGGACTTCAAAATAACTATCGATTATTTCTAGAGGATATTTGCAGAAAATATTAATTTATATTAGTCAAGCAATTTAGCTATTTGTACCTTGCAGAATTTCCATCTTGTTACACAACATGATAACCACAGTCTCTCAGGCACTCCGTCATTTGGATTTCTAGTTCAATTAAAATGGCACTACAACAGGTTAATTTCAATGGTTAAATCTCACGCCAATAGTTGTTGTTTATAAGGCTGGGCAACATCATAAGCCCTGAAACCAATCCGACTTTTTGAACTTCCTATGGCTTTTGAGGATGCTGCAAATTGAACACTTCTTGGGCTTAAACCTTATATTTAAATGTTTTATTATGTTTTTCATTGCTAGAACATCATTGTTTGAGTATCAGAGTGCAATTACTATCATCAAAGGAGCAGGTCATAAAACTTAAAAAACTATTGTCACCCCGATTAATCTCCCAATTCTCAAGCTAGCTTTTCAAGAGGTAATACTAAAGCTAAGCCCTTTTTGCAAGTTTAAACACCAGAGTTCAAGACTACCTCCTACCAAAAAAAGAGAAGAAAAGAAAAGAAAAACGCACAAGCTTTGCAAGAATAATACTACCTCCCAAGAACCTTTCTTCCATAATCCAACTTCTTGGAAGCTAGAGCATGCATACACACTAACTGCTTGTGTTTGTGTGTGTGACTGAATGTGTGAGAACTCAGATCTGAAAATCCTGAAGAGAAGTCTTCTATGCATACTCAGAATGCACATATTATTGCTCAATCAATTCCGAACATATAATCAATTAGCAAGAAATCACACTGTCAAATATGTTACTGCCTGAATTACAGCTGATTCTTCTAGACAAGGTAAATGAAAGATCTTACAAGAATGTTCAAACAAAACTGTAACGATCACAAACAAGTAAACATGGTAATCAAGACCCATAACATGAAAATGAACCCATTATTTACCTGAGCTGAGTTTTGCAATTCTTCCTTCGTCTTCTTTGTAGTATCCATTGACTTGAAGAGTAAAGTCATCATTGCACTGTGATTGTGTACTTCATTACTGGGACCGCTCCATACGTCCTGCATATATCAATCGCGCAATTTCACACCCAACAGGTTCGTTTTCATTTTTTTTTTGTTTTTTAGCCTCATTTTAAACTTTACTGAAAATGTAAAATCTCATTTCTTTTTGTAATTCACATTTTTTAGCTCCTATTTTTGGGTTAGGAGAAAAAAATGCTCTTAATCTTTTAAAGATAAAATAATAAAATGCTTTTTATGTTTTAGGACTAAAGTGTTTTGTTTCATAGTACCATTTCAAAAATAAAAAAGGACAAAAGTTTGACTAGACAACATAATGGATTTGGATCCTCTAAATGGGTCCTCTCTCTATTTCTTATAATACACGTCTTAATTTATGACACATGTTTTATTTATTAGAAGCAAACAAGATCGTTTTAAGTTTGATTAATTTTAACTCTTACTGATAAATAATTACACATGTTATGCATCTAGAAGTGCATTGTGAATAATGTAGAAAAGATCCACAAATGGTATGTAAGAGAAGGAAACGAGGCATGCTATGTTTTGATGGGAACGGTGGTGAGTTGGGATAGTGTGGAAGTACGGTTTACCATGGTCCTTGAGCAACCTATGAATTGTTGTATAAGTTGCTCATAATCAATTAATACTTGCCAACTAGACAATCACTGGGTCTAGTTGGGAAAGATTAATTTTATTATCTTATCAAACAATAACAAGAACAATCATACATCCCTTCTTCTCCTCTATTCATTCATTATTATCTCCTAAATTCTCTCATTTCATAACCAATTAAAACTTGCCAGCTACACAACTAATGGATGCAGTTGGGAAAGATTAATTTATAGGGTTAAAAACCAAAAAGTCCCTGGGGTATACCTAATATACAAAAAAGTCCCCGTGATTTTAAAACATATAAAACGACACCTCATGTTTTGAACTAATTTGGTTCCCATTGACGTTGTTATGATAATTAACTCATTTGTTATATTTATCACCTGCTTAGATCCCTTGTACTTGGTATAATTTATCACTCACTGATTTAGAATCTTAGAAAAATGTTTTCCTACTTATATTGAAAAAAATATATTTTGTAAAATTTAAAATAAAAAGGTGGTAAGTCATTATTAAAACAAGATCTGTTGTAAGTAATTGTAAAATGTAAATGACTTTGCATGGTTTCTCCAAACATGACAGTTTATGTTTAAATGCCTTTTTGTGTTGTTCATAAACTCATTTAGTTTTGGACATCTACGAGAAAAGATGATGAAGTAGAAGCATTTTAGTACGTTATGAAGCACGAGGTATATCAAAGGTTTGGATAGTAGATTTCTCAATTTGATCCGAAAATGTTTGTAAATGCAGGATCCATGACTAAAAAAATATATATATAGTTTGATGAATCTAATTTTGGGGAGATTGTAATCTCAGATTTCCAAGTCCACTGTTCATCTCAATTACTTATCATATCTTGGAAACCATTTCCTTATGCAGTAACTACTGTGATGTGATGCTCCCATTGTCCTATGCCGTAACCATTCTTCCGTGTGAAACGAATCCTGGCGGCTACCAAATGCAGCTGGCCCTAATTTTTATATTTGCCACTTGCATTAATCAATTTTTTGTAGTGCCCCAATAAGCAAAGTATGCAACTTGGCTAATTCATTAAAAAAAAAATTAGAACCACATCGTTAGGTACCTAGGCATGATCATGATACATGAACAAGAACATAAACAAAGTGCAATTATTAGTGGCTAGAAAATGACTTAATGGCAAGGGTCCACAGCCATACATGTTCATCCATGAAGTTGAATCTAATAGGAGTAGCATTTATATGAGTCGACCTTTAACACCTAGAGCACTCGATCCATACACATATTGAGCCTCAAAAAAAGAAATTTTTTTTTTTTTTGTTTTGTCCAGTTAGCTTTCAACAGAGAAATCAAAACCGGGGGGTCAGAGATGGAAAAGCCTGCAGAGGTTGCAGTAGGATTTGTGTTACAAAATCTGGTGCAGTTGATCGATGAGAACCGTAGATTGATAGGTGGTAATTATGGAAAAATCAGCGATCTCCAGGACGGCCTCCGTCTCTTGAAGGCGTTCATGGCTGACTACAATGAAAAGCACGACAATTCAGGGACCCTGATGGAGCTGGCGGAGGATATCAGACACCTGGTTTTCGAGGTTGAAGATCTCCTAGAAACATACATCATGGAGGAGACACTCTACAAAAATAAGAATACACTCAGCCAAGTAGTAAGCGCCAAAAACCACCTAGAAAACCTTCGGAAAATAGGTGAGACGGTACAAAAGTTGAGCACACAGGTGAAGCAGACGTACAAAGAAAACAAGGACTTTGGGGTGCCTGCTTTGGGGAGGAAAGGGATGGCAAGACACAATTCAATTGATGAACACAATCAGGTACTTTGCACTACTTAAATTGGTTACCAGTACTACAAGATTTAAAATTGCATATATTTCTCACGCTCATGAGTTGCCAATTCATTTAGACAAGTTCATGCCTTTTAACCACTGAAGTCAAGCCAATGACCAGAGTAAGGTTCTTAAAGTCTTCCAGGTTACGGATTCCAATTGCATATTTGACAGTTTGGAGGTGGGAATTGTGTGGGGGGAGAGATGGGAAGGTTATTTAATAATAATAATAATAATAATAATACTCCCTTGCCTTTGGCGCTTTCTTCCCCTTAATCTTATTCTTTTATGCAACTCATACTTTGTGCATAGGCTTTTTACATTTTTGGCCTATCTTTCTTCTTTTACCCAAATTAACATGAAATTGCAAAAATTCCCAAATGCTCCTTAATTTCTAGTGACTCTCCTCATCTTCATGGTAATAGATTGGAGACAATGAAGGGGCTGACAGAATCATTGGGTTTACGGATGCAACTGATGAAGTATTGAAACTTCTCGGCGGCCAAAAACTTGTTCTGGGTAAATCCGAGGCAGAGGAGCAGACCCCGTCCGGGGCAGAGCAACATGGTGAGTCTAAGCAGCTAGAAGTAGTGGCAATCCACGGAATGCTTGGACTAGGAAAGACGACACTTGCAAAGAAGGTCTTGAATGACCCAAGAATTCATCATCATTTTTTCACTCGCATATTCGTCCGGGTTTCAAATGTTTACAATAAGCAAGAAGTGCTTTTTAGTATCCTAAGTGCCTTCACCGAGAACATTAAGGATCAAAACCTGTCCATGAAAGAATTGGAAGACAAGGTCAAAGAGACCTTGAAGAATAAGTATTTGATTGTGATCGATGATGTTTGGGCCACCAAAGCATGGGACGATCTCAAGAAAGTTTTTCCAGACAACAACAAGGGCAGTAGGGTGCTGATAACTACCCAGCTCGAGCCTGTCGCTAAATATGTTACAACGAAGACTGAACCCTATAAGTTGCGATATATGAATGACGATGAAGCTGAAAATTTGCTGAGGACTAAGGTTTTCAATGACAACAAATGTCCCAAAGAACTGCTGTCCCTTGAACAGAAAATTCTGGCTAGATGTAAAGGGCTACCGCTAGCAATAGTGGTAACAGCAGGTATTCTTTGGAATCATCCAAGAGATCCAACCTGGTGGGATGATGTGCTTCATG